AGAGGGCACTGTATAAGTTTTAAGATTGCCGAAATTCGCGTCCCCAGGCTCTGGCTAAGCCTATCCTGGATAGTGGCGCGCTTCAATGGCCGGTCACGTGTCGTCAAGAACCAGGTTAAAAGGTTCCTTATATGACACCAGAACAGTTGAAGATATTATCTGCAAGGTTATTCACGCCTCACAGTGGCGACTTTCATCTGAGGATGGATAACGTCTACCCTAATGGCTGGGCAATGGCGTCTCCTCGTACTGGCGTCTCCTCGTACTGGGCAATACTGGCGTCGGATGACGTGAGAATTCTAGCCTACTGCACAGATGAAATTATTAGTACATGAGAATTCTACGTGGTGTTGATTTTACTTACTACAATAATTAGTAGAGTTAGTAATAAGTAATGAGAATACAACAGTGCTGTATTCGGTGTTGGAAATATCCAACACCTTTGTCTGGCATGACGTCAGAGGCCTACTCGCCTGTGATTGGTTATGTCCCAACTGACATACAATTTGAGTATAACATTTATTATCCGTGTGACTGTGGTGTCTGGTCGTGGCTGAGGCTTCACCAGGCCGACCTTTGTGAGGTGCTGGGAGGTGTCGTGGCTGAGGCTTCACCAGGGCGACCTTTGTGAGGTGCTGGGAGGTGTCGTGGCTGAGGCTTCACCAGGCCGACCTTTGTGAGGTGCTGGGAGGTGTCGTGGCAGGAAGTGCTCCTCACTGCATATATGACTCTTAATTAAGGGATCCGTAACGGGGGTTTTGTATCGTGCTGGACGTAAACTGAGGTCCAGTTCCTTGGCCCACTGTCCAACCACTTGGGCTGGACGGTAGAGCGACGGTCTCGCTTCATGCAGGTCAGCGTTCAATCCCCGATCGTCCAAGTGGTTGGGTACCATTCCTTCCCTCCCGTTCCATCTCAAATCCTTATCCTGATCCCTTCCCAGTGCTACATAGTCGTAATGGCTTGGCTCTTTCCCTTGATAATTCCCTTCCTTGGCCCATTATCATCTTCTGTCATCCTTAAACCCAATCCCACGGGATGAGTATCATTCCCGCTGTCGGGGACAGGAAGCCTGTATGTATATATATACTTTAGGATTGAATGGAGCCCCACCCCTAGGTCATACCAGTGACCTGCCCCAGGATGCAGCCCCACAATAATTCCCTAACTCCCGGGTACCTATTTACTGCTAGATGAACAGAGCCATTAGGTGAAAGGAAACTTACCCATCTATTTATGTCCCGTCCGGGGATCGAACCCTAGATTCTCGATTGTTAGTCGAGAACGAAGCCACTGTACTACACGGAAGTAATTATCAAAAATAGGGCCCCAAGCGTGGACAATTGACAGACTTAGCTCCGTTGGTGTAAAGGATATTGAAGAGGCAATACACATTATTATTATTATGTCAATACCAGAGCCGAAAAAATAAAGCCTCAAGTCGAGCTATGTCGATGGAATCATTTCTAATTTTTAAAACTATTGGGAGATGTGCGTTCGTACGATTTTCCTTTCCAGTTTGTTACCCTTGATTACTAGGCTTACATGGAAGTGGTGTAGTGCAGGGTTGGACGTGTGTGTGTGTGTGTGTGTGAAAGAGAGATAGAGACAGAGTTACAGACAGGCCGAACTAGAGAGACAGACATAAACTGGGAGAGAGAGAGAGACAAATACAGACACAGACACAACCAAGAGAGAGAGAGAGAGAGAGAGAGAGACAGACAGACAACACACACACACACACACACACACACACACAGAACGACACAGGGGGGAGAGAGAGAGAGAGCACAGTCCCCAAGTCCTGTGGCCTTCAGATCCTCCCGCGACCTCTCCCACAATAGCTAAGTTACATAACAAATGACCTGAAGGAAACATTGTAAATGCCTCAGAGAAGAGCCGACAATACTACAATGAATCAATAATGTAACAGTAATAATAACAACAACAATAATAATAATAATTGTAGTAATAAATAAATTTTTAAAATGATGATTTACACTCATAAATCCCAGATACTCAGGTATGGTAAAAAGGAAGACCTTAAAATATTGGGTACGAGACAACTTCAAAGCTGCCCATAGTAGGAGAGGAACGTGTAAAAGATCTGGGAATAATGATGTCTGACTACCTACCGTTTAGGGAGCATAACCAGGCAATATCGTTTACAAAAATGATAGGATGACATTACGATAACCTTAAAATCCAGGCTTGGGGGAGACTGTAGGACTCTCAGAATCCGTATAATTTGATTGTATATACATACGACGCCAAGGACTTGAACTATACGAGAGGGGATATACAATATACCTCGCTGCCTAGTGTGTATACACTGATATTTTAGTCCTGTGACTCACTAGACTAAGCAGCTGCGTCTCACAGCCTGGTTGACCAGATCACCACCAACCAGGAAACTTGGTCAGAAATCCGGGCAAAGGGGACAATGATTCCCGGAACTAATACCGGGTAAAACAGACGGGACAAAAAGTGTGTTTGTGGGTTGACTAGTAAGTTATTGTCATATCCTTAATAACCCGCCAGAGACTGATAGGACTTAACAGACTTTAGTAGATCTTAAGCCCAACGCCAAAGCAATCAGTACACTGATAGTGTATTCCGCTTATCTGTGTGTACAAGCTACACCCAGTTTACTTTAGCTGTGATGTACGTTCAGGATAACTAATAGGTAACACGCACATCAGTAAGCTTCTATAATAACGACCTTAATAACTATAACTACTCCCGTGCGGTTGATAGACCAGTTTAAGCTGAATAATGAAACCCAAATGGAACACAACAATGATTCGTTCCCACTATGCAGCAACTGCGTGACCTCACCAGGTGAGTGGGGTGACTGGGCGACGGGCTGGTTGATAGATGGCTACCACCCGTCACCCACGTGTTCAGACCAGGTGTCCGGCCTGATCGGCCCAGGCCAGATTTTTGTCCGATCTCAACTCACATTCCAGGTAGAATCGATGCTGCTTTGTTTGTCCCTCTGTTAACTCACGAAATAAATCTCTTTTATATTGGTTGGATGACGCATTTGCACACGTCAATCCATATATGAAAAACATGGGTTAGTCACTCCTGTCTAGCCCCGGGAAGGTGAGGGGTGATGTAAGGTTTGTTTTTCCAGTGCAGGGGCGACGAGGCCAGCTTTGTGGTGGTGGAGGTGCGTGCTTGGCAGGCCAGGGAGGGCGGAGCCGCTTCCCCACGGCGGCGGGCCGGTCGATTTTTCCCAGGATGAACTTGAGTCGTCCCCCAGCAACGCGATACTTTCTGCTGCATTATCTATCTGCAGCAGTACGGCTGTTCTTCCTTCTGCTATTGCTGTTTTTACTGTTGCTGCTCCTGTTACCACTGCTGATGTTTTTAATACTACTGCTGTTCCTTCTACTACTGCTGTTATTACTACTACTGATATACTACTGCTGTTCCATCTACTACTGCTGTTCATTCTACTACTGCTGTTCATTCTACTACTGCTGTTCCCTCTACTACTACTGTTCCACCTACTACTGCTGTTCCTTCTACTACTGCTGTTCCTTCTACTACTGCTGTTGCTTCTACTACTGCTGTTCTTACTACTACTGCTGCTGTTACTACTACAATTAGTGCTGCTCCTACTGCTGTTGTTGTATATTCTACATCACCTTACAACAAGCTGCACAATATACAAGACAGTCTCACCCAAAGCCTAGTTACTGTGTAGAGTGTTGGGGTGGGCCAGCGGTACGTGTGGAGACAGTCGGGTTGGTTGTAATCAGAGCTACAGATAAGAAGCTTCACGTGGTGCTCTAGATTACTCGTTCCACTGTAACTACCACTTGTTCTGAAACTATTACTATCACTTAAGTGTTACTGCTGTATGTTTCAGTTTATACTGCTGTACTCGTTGGTGATGATGTTAGGTCCTCTTAGGCTCTGATAGATACTACTATATTACAAGAATTGTGCAGTAAATCCCGACCTATTCAAGGATTAGACGGGCATCGTGTATAAGGACAGGTTTGTTGTGTGTGTGTGTGTTTGCTGTTATAGAAAGCTGCTTTTAAGATGACTCTTCAACCCCCCACCCCGTCCCCGCCCGCCCCTCCCCCATCCACCCTGTCTATCCTGGGAGTTAAACATCCCTTGGAGACCTCTACTCAGGCCTCTAGAGCGGTCCTCGTGGCCTTACGCGAGTTTGTCTTGTGCCCTCCAGCTGTGTTTCCTTACTCTGCAGGTAGTTTTAGTAAGACAGGAGACTAAGATCAACGTAGGAGGTTGATTAGTGGAGTTATATAGGTGAATACTGCCTACGTGACAAGCGTCAGGAAGTTCATTTCGATGGAAGAGGCTGTTTTGTAAACAAATCTGGCTATTTTGTGGCTTTCTGAAGAAATTTAGTAGCCAAAATAGGGCGCTTGTAATCAATTTGCAATTTTTCTATTCTAAATGATTAAAAAAGTATGTTAAATCAAGAAAATTTGCCTTTCATTGAATACAGCTTCGATCATTTTTGGAAATGCTATGTTATATTATGATACATATCGTTCAGGATCGTGGTTAACCTGAGGAGATTTCTTGATTATTGGTCTTATCTGGACGAATCCAAATGCATATTGTATGACTAAATAGGCATAAATGGAAGGCCTAATCATAATCGAGGCGTTGAGGCCTTAGAAGACGATGAAACAGCATCTTGAGACGAAGGAGAAGGCATAAAACCACGCTGGCAACATTATACCCAAACGCGGAGAAAATATGTGGTATTTTACTACATTTTTCATATGTTTTCGCTGCGTTGCGCAACGATTTGAATGATAGGTTTTGTGGTTATAATTGAATTAAATTCCTATTACATATTGAAGAGGTTAATTTTCGTCATTTATCAGAGTAACTTTGACGTAGATATATCACAACGAGTTGCTAAAATGTCCTGAGGTGACGAGTGTTTTGATCTAAAACATCTGAACATTCTCTGAACTGTGGCAACGATGACGGGGTCGGGTATATAAGGTGGAGGCGGCAGCGGTCTCCTCATTAAACCTCGTCACCTCACGCGCAACACACCACGTCTCTAAGACTTGTGCAAGATGTCTTCTCAACGCTACGCACGCGCTCTTCTCTCCGGGGCGGCAACTCTGAAAAATGTCGCAGGATTCCAGGTGTGTACTGATAGCTGTTGGAACTGTAATATATATAAATGTGTTAGTGTCTGAATGTTTATTTAGGTGAGTGCATCAATTTATTTGGTGGCTAGAATGTGGGTTTTGTTAATTGGCAAAAAAAAAAAAAAAATCAGTGCTTCGATGAATATTGTATCGTATAGCAGTGCAGGATATGTATGTGGTGTATAAAAAATGAACTGAACTAAAGAAAATAAGATTTTCAAAGTGTAAAAGTCCATCAGATATCAAGAAATGATTAGGAATATCTTAAATTCTTAAGATAGCTGTTTGTGACCCAGATCGATTTCTGCGGCGACTTCGGGTTAGTGAATGAGAGTTCACCCATGTATGTGACACACAGATCATTACGTTCATAGCTGTAACAATTACAGCTAGTTGCCTTCTAATTTGACTTATTAAGCCAATGAACAAATGTATTCTTAAATTGACATACAATTCTTCTTATTTGTAACTTGAGAGAGTATTGACGTATCACCTTGTGTCCACAGGCCAGGCGACAGACCCACCTGTGCGCCCACAGCCGGAGCCTGACCCTAGCTGCCGCTGCCCGTCACCAGCTGGCTAGAGCAGAGGCTCCACGCCCAGGTAAACATACATAAAACTATGTAAACCATATACAGATCTATGTAAGCCGTTCTATATCAAGTAGAACCAGATAGAAAATCTCTGCAATATTGGAAAGTGTTCATATCCAAATTTTATTTTTTTGCCTTTCACTGCTGACTTATTTTTATTTTTTTCCTACAGGTAGCGGTGTAGTGACTGCTTCCACGGGTAGCGACGCCCTTCAGATCACCTTCTGCGACGGCAGGACCAGAGAAATCCCGTACGTATGGCTGAGAGACAACTGCCAGTGCCACAAGTGCTCCTCCTGTAGGGGCCTCTCTGCTGAGGGCAACAGAGAGTTCCAGGTCGTAGCTTATCCAGAGATTATTCAGGTTAATATTTTAGTGTTTTTTGGTTCATTTTCTTGCCTTTTACTTTTTTCTCATTTGATTCTTCTGCTTTCTTTCACTTCTTTTTTTTTCCTCTTGCTTTCTTTCACTTCCTATTTTTTTCCCTCTTGCTTTCTTTTACTTCCTTTTTTCTTTTACTTTCTCACTTTTCTACTTGCTTTCACTTGCTTTCTTTTTTTATTGTTTATTAGAACAATACATTTCACAAAATTATTCTTGCTTTCACTTGCTTTCTTTTTTCATTCTGTCTATTAGAACAATACATTTCACATAAAATTACTCTTAATTAAAATCTGAAGGCATGGTTTTAAATCCTGCTTATTCGTTTACCTCAAAACTGCTTTGCTATGCATTGCCTAACACTTATCTTTTACCCCCTCAGAGCAATGTGTTCGGCGTGGTGGTAGACTGGAATGATGGCCACATTAGCAAGTACCCTGGCGAGTGGCTCCACCAGGCGGCTCACACCCTGTACACCAGCTGAACGGTATGTGATGTATCCAGTATCTCGTACAACTAATCCCTTTTAACAATCATCTGGTTCCTCTTGCTTTTGTTGTCACCACAACAGGCATCCAGTTCTTGTTTGCTTTCATCCCTATAACAGGAATTTATTTCCCCTTGCTGCTGTCATCCCTATAACATACATTGTTCATCTTGCTATCATTCTTCCCCCCCCCCCCCCCCATTTAACAGGCATCCAGTTCTTGCCTATCAAATTCCCCTCCCTTTCCTTCCTTAACACGTACTGACATTTCTTTTGATGGATGAGAGCCTCTCTGATACCTGATATCATTAGCAGGCCTTGCATTGTTTCTTTCTTGTCAAGAGATGCATTTTCATTATCTATTTAGTCTTTGGATAGACCTGTCTGTTATCTATAAAGGGTTCTTTATCTCTTTATTATAATATATTGTATATATAATATATATATATATATATATATATATATATATATATATATATATATATATATATATATATATATATATATATATTATTTATATATATATATATATTATATATAAATAAAACCCAGTACTGTTGCCCAGTACAGTAATACCCTTTTCTTTTGATATTGTCTGCTATAACACTGAAAAATGTAGAAACTTATCAAAGATGCTTGAGCAAGTATGGCTATACTATATAGCATGCTGGCTTTGTGATTTCTTTAATTTAATGACAATAGACCTGTGTAGACAAGACGCTGGTCTTCATATGAAGCTTCTTGGCACTTCTTTTAACCTTTCTAATTTCCAAATTGACATTTTGTACTATTGCGCTAGTTCTCTTTAATTATTTTGCAAATTCACTAAATTAATGATTAGAATTATAATCATCAAAATGATTATCTGAATAACTTCATTCTAAATATTTTTAAGAACATTCTTGTTCCTTTTAAAATTTACTGTTCTTTTTTTTTCATTCATTCTTATTGTATGAAATCTCTTTTTCATTTGTGTGGGTTGGGTAATTTTATTTAAACCATGTAACTAATCTATAATTTTTTTTTCGTTGCAGACTTTTCTTGGTGTAGCAGTGGGAGCTCAGTGGCTGTCAGTGCCACCAACCACTGTTAAACACGGCTTAACGAGTCTTCTCATGCCGACTTTGAAGGTCAATGGAGATTAGCTGTGCTGAAGAGAATTGTCTTCTGGTTGATTTCGTCCAATGATGGGAGTTCCAGCAGCCATACCTCTGCACGCTTGTGGCCGTTTCTATATCTTGTATGACGGCCCTGCGATTTTCTTCAGGCTGTTTTAGTCTTATGCCTTGGATATATGATTTATCTTAAGTGGTACCAAAAAGGCATGTATACATTATCTTTTTATGTTTAGAGTCAAATGCACAAAAGTGATAGGTTAGCAGAACTAAATATCGCATTTTGGTGCCATAGGTTCAAGGTAAATGACTTGTAAAATCGAGTCGATAACCCCTGGCATGTCCTAGGACCTTCGATTCATTGTCACAGACCTTAAGGGAAATCTGGCAGGCTATGGCGGAGACGCCGGTAACAACCATGGAAGAACTCTTGTTCCGGTCCGCCCGCCTTGCATGGGGGCAGGCTGCGTCAGCTGTCCTGAACAGACACTGCTTGTTAAACTATAATTTTGTATATAGTGTTAAACTTTTGCATTTTATATGAATAAAATGTGTATAAATAGATCTTTGTTTTGGTCCACCCATATTTTGAAGTGTAAACAATGCAAATCAGTGACATCAGTTCACTTGGTGGTGAATGAAAGTGTTCTTACCCAAGAGCCACCGTCTTTGGTGGCTTCTATGGGAGCAAGAATGATGCGGCTTGTCAGTCCTCGCCATTATTCCCAGGGACTTGTCCAGCTGAGGGAGGGAGGAAATTATCAGGGAAAAGTGCCAAGCTATTACGACTGACTTATTTACTGGAAAAGGAGTACAATTATGGCTTTGGTGGGTAGGCTGTTACATTACTTTATTACCCTAATAGATGGAGAAAAATTCTGGCATTAATGATTATCAATCTCTATCATCAATGGACTTCTTAAACGTTACAATAAGCAAGTTTTATTAACAATTAATTGGAGTATCTAATCTTATGGAAATGTTCTAGAGTTAAATATAGATCTATTAAATAGTTTAAATGAATTTAGGACAAGAATAACACTAATGCTGTTGCGTACTTGATTTAATGGGACAACGTTAAGAATTTCATGAATACTAAGAACGAAGCTTTTTGTAACTTGAATGTTAATGACTTCAAAATAACAACAAAGTAAAAAAAAATACGAAAACTATTAAAGATCTAATTGTATCTCAAAGTAAAGTGTTTCAACTTTTTTTTTTTTACCAAGAAGGTAGTATTTGTTTTTTCCTTGGGTATAAATATATTTTTGTTTGTTACCCCAATTTTCTCAAATTTTCGGTCAAAAAATGCAAAACAAATGATGGTACTTTACAAGACCCCCATCCCATCATGGGGTGGAGCATTGTTACACGTTAACCTCATTCAAAGTTAGAGATTTTATGAAATTTATACAGATACAGATTTTACTTTCGGAACCGTCTCTGTAATAATATTCAAATATATTAACCGTTTGATGCCCCTCATAATTGTAATTCCTGAAGCAGAAAATTTAAATCTACAGCTGGAAAATATTAAGTATGGGATTCCAAAATATCACAAATAATTCGTTAAAAGACCATATGTAAGTTAAATAATTGTAACAATCACTATTACGTCTTTATAGAATGATTTTTTTAAATTAATTTTTTAGTAAATGAGTTTGACACCCATGCGTTAGACGACCAATGATTAGAGCCTTCAAGAGCCTTGGTCCAAGAGCTGAAGGTCAGTTCTGCGGGCATAAATACACGAGTACACCCACAACTATTCCCGCAAACACCTGGCCCATGAGCTGGAGCTCACTCAGCCTATCAATGACACGCCGACAGGAGCACAATACCTGAGGCTCGGGGCACACACTCCCAACCGAACATCTCAACTATCCCATAGTTTGGAAAAAAAGAAACTTTTTATCAGCAACATAAATATAAGACATAGCCTCTCCTAGCAATCCATAGTTTAATACACGCTACCTTAGGCCTAATATTTTTTTTTTTTTTTTTGAGATATATACAAGAGTTACATTCTTGTACAGCCACTAGTACGCGTAGCGTTTCGGGCAGGTCCCTGGAATACGATCCCCGCCGCGAAGAATAGTTGTTACAACCAAGTAGCCATTTTACTGATGAGTTAAACAGAGGCTACAGTTAAGGATTTGCGCCCAGTAAATCCTCCCCGGCCAGGATACGAACCCATGACAAAGCGCTCGCGGAACGCCAGGCGAGTGTCTTACCACTACACCACGGAGACTGATATAGTATATATGTATGCTATACTAACCCAAGGAATATTAAAGTGTGGTTTTATCTTCATTTTTTACCGGGCTTGATGATAATACAAAATTATACAGTGCTTGGTCCATCAAAAGAAAAAAGATTTACAAAAAGTACTATCGTTTCAAGAGGCTTGGTTGGAACAGGACGACGGACGACGATGGGTTGGTGGCGGAGGTATGGGTGTTGGTGTGTAAGAGGCGAAGGTGTGGGGTGTGGGTGTTGGTGTGTAAGAGGCGAAGGTGTGGGGTGTGGGTGTTGGTGTGTAAGGGACGGGGGTGTGGGTGTTGGTGTGTAAGGGGCGAAGGTGTGGTGGGTGGGTGTTGGTGTGTAAGGGGCGAAGGTGTGGGTGTGTGGGTGTGATGAGGAAGGCCAAGCAGAAGGTAGGGTGGTGGACCGTGGGTTGCGAGGCCTCGAAGGTCTGGGATTTGCATTTGATGTCAATTAAGGAATTGGAGTGGCAACACTTGTTTTGCCCTGATTCTCATCGTTGTTGATGAGCTTGGTGTGCCTGAGGTGTGGCACTGCTTGGGGTGTTGCACCTGGTTAATGTGGCACTGCTTGGAGTGGTTAGTGGTATTGCCTTCACAAAAGCCCTCGAACCAAACCCGCGCAACTAACCTAGCCAGACAACCAGCCCACACATCTGAAAATAAAGTGATGACGTTTCGTCCCGTTCTGAACCAATATTTAGTAGTGCAATGGAAAAAAAGCAGTATGGAGAAAGTCAACCTATAAGGGAAGAGAGAGTGAGGAAACGAATTAATAAAACGGCAGAAGGCCAATTGCCCAAAAGAATGAGGTGAAATAGCGACAAAGAAATTATATCATACGAGAAAAAAAATGGAAGCAGAGAGTAGAGGAGCAGAAGTTATAAGTCAGATCATTTACATATGCACGTTTAAGGAGGTTAGATAGCAACCCGTTCTCTTAAAAAGAACGTCACTTTTCGCTCGTATGCGCGCTATGGCCAAATTTGGACGTAATTTGAAATGAAATCGACTCACAAAAGTGACGTTCTGTTCCGTTTAGATAGAGCATTTTAATAAGTATGTACTGAGAAAGGGAAGAGTCAAAAGCAACAAAGCCCCAGGACTAAGGTTCATGTTGGGTAAGTTGTGTATCAGAGCAGCTTCGACAAGACTGCGTCTGTGTAGAGGCAGGAAAGATTATTTTAGAAGATGACATTCTATAGGATGATTAAAGAGAGTCCCTAACATGCCAGAAGGTAATTGTTTGTCTTCTTATATATATTTTTTACATATTTTTGTTTGTTCATAGTATTTGTTTCCTTAATGTGTAGGTAGCATTATTAATTTATTTGATGTTATTTATTTGTGTTTGTAGTGTATAAATATCATGATTATTTTACATTTCAGCAAACGATACATGTAGCACTGTTAAATATTAATGTTTTGTAGTAATAACATAATGGACAGCCAGAGTTAAAAATAGAGTTTGACTTGATCCCTCGCACGTCACTACATTGTGGTGGCTGCTTAGTTTATTGGACACTGTCACTCATCCTGTGAGCGTTCATAAGCGCCTTCCAGGCAGACTCTATTCATATTCTGAATATTCTATCAAGATCTTATCAGGATATATGCCTAGAGAGGTGTACCCTGCCTCTCGGTGCATATACACTGAGAGTCTTGGGGCCAGATTCACGAAAGCACTTACGAACCTGTACATCTTTTCTCAATCTTTGGCGGCTTTATTTCCAATTATTAAACAATTAATGAGCTCCGAAGCACCAGGAGGCTGTTTATAACAATAACAACAGTTGATTGGCAAGTTTTCATGCTTGTAAACTGTTTAATAAATGTAACCAAAGCCGTCAAAGATTGAGGAAAGATGTACAGGTTCGTAAGTGCTTTCGTGAATCTGGCCCTTGGAGTGTGTTGAGGACTAAGGTATACTTGCTGGTCGGTTAGTAAACAAATAACCCTCCAGAGGTTGATGGGCCGTAAGTCCAATACCACAACAAACCATTTTAATCAAAGAATGTGTGTGTTATATCGCCTCCTTGTGCCTGCTCCACCCTCTCATATATTTTGATGCCACTCGAGGTGCCCTCTAGCTCCTGGACTCCAAACTTGTCCGGCATTAGAGATCAGTGAAAGTCATCGCGGGCTGCGTCCTCTGTTACCTCCAAGAGCTGCTCGGTCACAACTGCGCATGTCCCCTAGAGCGTTATATTTGGCTTCGCCCCTGTTGTGTTGTTGCTACTTGTTCTCGCTGCTACTTGTTCTCGTTGTTACGTGTTCTCGTTGTTACGTGTTCTCGCTGCTACTTGTTCTCGCTGCTACTTGTTCTCGCTGCTACTTGTTCTCGCTGCTACTTGTTCTCGCTGCTACTTGTTCTCGTTGTTACGTGTTCTCGTTGTTACGTGTTCTCGCTGCTACTTGTTCTCGCTGCTACTTGTTCTCGCTGCTACTTGTTCTCGCTGCTACTTGTTCTCGTTGTTACGTGTTCTCGTTGTTACGTGTTCTCGCTGCTACTTGTTCTCGCTGCTACTTGTTCTCGCTGCTACTTGTTCTCGCTGCTACTTGTTCTCGCTGCTACTTGTTCTCGTTGTTACGTGTTCTCGTTGTTACGTGTTCTCGCTGCTACTTGTTCTCGCTGCTACTTGTTCTCGTTGTTACGTGTTCTCGTTGTTACGTGTTCTCGCTGCTACGTGTTCTCGTTGTTACGTGTTCTCGCTGCTACTTGTTCTCGCTGCTACTTGTTCTCGCTGCTACTTGTTCTCGCTGCTACTTGTTCTCGTTGTTACGTGTTCTCGCTGCTACTTGTTCTCGCTGCTACTTGTTCTCGCTGCTACTTGTTCTCGTTGTTACGTGTTCTCGCTGCTACGTGTTCTCGCTGCTACTTGTTCTCGTTGTTACGTGTTCTCGCTGCTACGTGTTCTCGCTGCTACTTGTTCTCGCTGCTACTTGTTCTCGTTGTTACGTGTTCTCGTTGTTACGTGTTCTCGCTGCTACTTGTTCTCGCTGCTACTTGTTCTCGTTGTTATGTGTTCTCGTTGCTACGTGTTCTCGTTGCTACTTGTTCTGTCCTACTCAGAACACTGGAGTCACGCGTCCAGTGTTCTGTCCGCGGACAGAACACTGGACGCGTGATCCTGTGGTCCCGGGTTCGATCCCGGGCGCCGGTGAGAAACGATGGGCAGAGTTTCTTTCACCCTGATGCCCCTGTTACCTAGAAGTAAATAGGTACCTGGGTGTTAGTCAGCTGTCACGGGCTGCTTCCTGGGGGTGGAGGCCTGGTCGAGGACCAGGCCGCGGGGACACTAAAGCCCCGAAATCATCTCAAGATAACCTCAAGAAGATAACCCCTAAGTATTTTATGTCTCTATCATATCTCTCCTCCTTTCTAATGTCCGGTTTAGTTCCTTCAGTCTAAGTACGTCATCCCTCAGAATTCTGGGACGAGTCTCGTTGCAAACTTCTAAAGCTTTTCGAGATTCCTTATGTGTGTTTTCAAGATGGGTGATCCACACTCTAAGCCTGGCCTCAGGTAGGCGATGTACAGCGATCTGAAAGCCTCCTTATTTAGGTTCCTGTGTAGATGTGTGTACTCCCTTAATTGTGTTTGCAGGCGTTGAGCTTCAGCTCTTTGGTCCCGCTTCTCAGCCATTAATGAAATGGTGCACAGGTTCCTGAGCCTATTGGGCCCTATCATATCTAGTATGGAGTGTGCCTCCACCACATTACTTTCTAATGCATTTCATTTATTAACTACTCTGATACTGAAAAAAAGTTCTTTCTAACGTCTCTGTGGCTCATTTGGGTACTCAGTTTCCACCTGTGTCCCCTTGTGTGATGTTGTTTTTTTTTAGATTCAGCTACTGGAACAAAAGTTGCAAATAGCACGGACTATGGTGAGCCCGTAATGGACCGTCACCAAACTGGTGTTCTAAATTGCCGAAATGTAACCCAACCGAGGACATACGAATCGAAAACGGGAAATCACATCAGTTTTGGGAGTGGCTGTAATTTTTATAGTACGTGAGTATTCGGCCTTAGGGGAATTATACGTGAAAATACGTCGTGCTATTGGAGATGAGAGGGCACCATGTGTGTGTGTGTGTGTGTGTGTGTGTGTGTGCGTGTGTGCGTGTGTGTGTGTGTGTGTGTGTGTGTGGAGGAGCGGCTGGACTGGTAGCAGCAGGCAGGAAAATGGGAAGGATATCGGGTCCGGTGACTCAACTCAGATTAGACAACACTCCAGCAGAGGAAGCAGACACAGTGACCTGCTGGAACCTCGCTTGTGTTGACCGAGTTACTTCTGTTCTACTAACCCAGCTATTAACCCCAGCAGTACCACTGCTACTAACCCCAGCAGTACCACTGCTATTAACCCCAGCAGTACCACTGCTACTAACCCCAGCAGCACCATTGCTACTAACCCCAGCAGTACCATTGCTACTAACCCCAGCAGTACCACTGCTATTAACCCCAGCAGTACCACTGCTACTAACCCCAGCAGTACCATTGCTACTAACCCCAGCAGTACCACTGCTACTAACCCCAGCAGTACCATTGCTACTAACCCCAGCAGTACCATTGCTACTAACCCCAGCAGTACCATTGTTATTAACCCCAGCAGTACCACTGCTACTAACCCCAGCAGTACCACTGCTACTAACCCCAGCAGTACCATTGCTACTAACCCCAGCAGTACCACTGCTACTAACCCCAGCAGTACCACTGCTACTAACCCCAGCAGTACCACTGCTACTAACCCCAGCAGTACCACTGCTACTAACCCCAGCAGTACCACTGCTACTAACCCCAGCAGTACCACTGCTACTAACCCCAGCAGTACCACTGCTACTAACCCCAGCAGTACCATTGCTACTAACCCCAGCAGTACCACTGCTACTAACCCCAGCAGTACCACTGCTACTAACCCCAGCAGTACCACTGCTACTAACCCCAGCAGTACCACTGCTACTAACCCCAGCAGTACCACTGCTACTAACCCCAGCAGTACCACTGCTACTAACCATTGAATGTTTGTAATTCGTCAGCTCTTTGCTCCTACTCAGTCATTATCTTGGACCTCAAAAGTGCCTACTTTATTATTGTAATATTGTTCATATCTGTATTCACAAAATATACATATTATGTATTTCTGTATTCACAAAATATACATATTAATATATTGTTTAAATCTAAAACACCATTTTCGCGATTTCTAACTGTAAGTGGTGGTGGTGTTGGGCTATGTACCGAGTAGAGTACATAGTACATCTACAGTGCAGTACAGTGCGGTACAGCCACAGTTGGTGTTGATACAGCGGCATCAATCAATAATACAGGGTACAGCAGCTGCTTTTATCAACTTTTGGTGATGAGCTCATTACAGTGGTGATGATCTCATTACAGTGGTGATGATCTCATTACAGTGGTGATGAGCTCATTACAGTGGTGATGATCTCATTACAGTGGTGATGATCTCATTTCAGTGGTGATATCATTTCAGTGTTGATGATCTCATTACTGTGGTGATGAGTTCATTACAGTGATGATCTCATTACAGTGGTGATGAGCTCATTACAGTGGTGGTGATCTCATTACAGTGGTGATGATCTCACTACAGTGGTGATGATTTCACTACAGTGGTGATGAGCTCATTGAAGTGATGATGAGCTTATGAGTACTAGTGAACTCACTACAATGCTTTGGTATTCAGATGGAGTAAACCTGTATACAGTACACTATTATATTATTCTTTCAAAATACAGTTGCCATACGTTGCAATGTTGACAATCCCTGTGAGCTCTGCTTCTGCAATGTGTGGCTGACGTTGCTAGAAATAAAGATTCAGATGCTGATAATAACAATGTTTCTCTGGTGTTATTGTGACACTTATGTAATGAATGTAGTGTTATTGAGGGTGATGTATGGTGTTGAAGGTGATGTATGGTGTTGAAGGTGATGTATGGTGTTGAAGGTGATGTATGGTGTTGAAGGTGATGTATGGTGTTGAAGTGTGCGTACGTGGCTCCCTAGAGCGTGGGTCGGGAGCGGACGTGACCTCCTCAGCGTCGACACGCACGTACCTCCGTGTCGACACGCACGTAGGTGCTGACTTGCGTGTGTCCTGCCCATCTCCCCCGGACCCTCTTCCCCTCACGACCCCCCGTCACCCCACACATCCCATCCTCCCTCCCCCAGGGTGACATCCCCCATCCATATGGTCACATCCACCTGGTCTCCGCGCCCTGGGACCGTCCGTCGTCACGTGTTTTCAAGCCGACTCGAGTAACGGTCTTCGCTTGCTGTGTGGCGTCCTGTCTACTGCTGCTGCTTCTCCTGCACCTGCTGCTGCTGCTTCTCCACCTCCTGCTGCTGCTGCTTCTCCTGTACCTGCTGCTGCTGCTTCTCCACCTCCTGCTGCTGCTGCTTCTCCTGCACCTGCTGCTGCTGCTTCTCCTGCACCTGCTGCTGCTGCTTCTCCTGCACCTGCTGCTGCTGCTTCTCCTGCACCTGCTGCTTCTCCTGCACCTGCTGCTGCTGCTTCTCCTGCACCTGCTGCTGCTGCTTCTCCTGCACCTGCTGCTGCTGCTTCTCCTCCACCTGCTGCTGCTGCTTCTCCTCCACCTGCTGCTGCTGCTTCTCCTCCACGTGCTGCTGCTGCTTCTCCTGCACCTGCTGCTGCTGCTTCTCCTCCACGTGCTGCTGCTGCTTCTCCTCCACCTGCTGCTGCTGCTTCTCCTCCACGTGCTGCTGCTGCTTCTCCACCTCCTGCTGCTTCTCCACCTCCTGCTGCTTCTCCACCTGCTGCTCCTCCACCACCTTCCCCGCGCAATCTATCATGTCTGTTGGCTACAGCTGCTATGTCAACCTCTGTAACAACTGTATCGTCAAAATTTATAGGATTACAACAGCTGTATCAGTCAATATACAGGGTACAACAGCTGTATCAGTCAATATACAGGGTACAACAGCTGTATCAGTCAATATACAGGGGTACAACAGCTGTATCAGTCAATGCAGCTGTATCAACCAATAATACAGGGTACAGCAGCTCTATCAACCAATAATACAGGGTACAACAGTTGTATCAACTAATAATACAGGGTACACCAGCTGTATCAACCAATAATACAGGGTACAGCAGCTGTGTCAACCAATAATACAGGGTACAGCAGCTGTGTCAACCAATAATACAGGGTACAGCAGCTGTATCAACCAATAATACAGAGTACAGCAGCTGTATCAATCAATAATACAGGGTACAACAGCTGTATCAACCAATAATATAAGGTACAGCAGCTGTATCAACCAATAATACAGGGTACAGCAGCTGTATCAACCAATAATATAGGGTACAGCAGCTGTATCAACCAATAATACAGGGTACAGCAGCTGTATCAACCAATAATACAGGGTACAGCAGCTGTATCAACCAATAATACAGGGTACAGCAGCTGTGTCAACCAATAATACAGGGTACAGCAGCTGTATCAATTAGTAAGACATTACGATAACGCCCAAATTAGAAAGTGTGAGGTGTGTGTGTGTCATCCTCCTCCGCTGTCTTACAACAGCGTCTCCAAGGTGACAGGAGTGTAGAAGACGGACGTGTTTGTTGGTGTGTGTGTGTGTGTGTGTGTGTGTGTGTGTGTGTGTGTGTGTGTGTGTGTGTGTACGTACTTCAGGTGGGGCGGCCTGTGAAGCCTCAGCCATATCTTCCAATCACTTACCTGCCACTGTCTCCTAGTGGCTTCGTCCTGGACTCGCAATCGCTGTATATATATATATATATATATATATATATATATATATATATATATATATATATATATATATATATAATATATCACCACGTTTAATGAGCGGTGAGGCGCACTCTGTCACTCATATATCCGGCGACCTTGAGGCGTTTCCGGTATACTATAGTCGCTTCTTGACGGTTCCATCCGTTATTATGAAAGTTTCTCACTGTATAAGTTGTGGTTTTTTATATTTTGTGAGTCGTTTATGCGGCCATTGTTTTGTTGGCCGAAGTCAGACGCATAGCTCGTTTGGGGCCTTGAAGGGTGGGTTTCAAAAAGCAGATTGGCAGAGGATTATTTCTAAATCAAAATTGTATCTAAACGCTCACAATGCTTTACCTCCGGATGGTCTTTGATTTGTGTTCATATTTCCTTGTTTATTTCATTCTGTCTTGGAAAGCAACTTTTCAATTGGTTTCTACCAGTTACGATTGTCATACTGGGTGGCACTGTTGTCATGCTGAGTGGCACTGTTGTCATGCTGAGTGGCACTGTTGTCAAGCTGAGTGGCACTGTTGTCATGCTGAGTGGCACTGTTGTCATGCTGAGTGGCACTATTGTCATGCTGAGTGGCACTATTGTAATGCTGGGTGGCACCATTGTCATGCTGGGTGGCACTGTTGTCATGCTGAGTGGCACTGTTGTCACGCTGAGTGGCACTGTTGTCATGCTGAGTGGCACTGTTGTCATGCTGAGTGGCACTGTTGTCATGCTGAGTGGCACTGTTGTCATGCTGAGTGGCACCATTGTCATGCTGGGTGGCACCATTGTCATGCTGGGTGGCACCATTGTCATGCTGGGTGGCACCATTGTCATGCTGGGTGGCACCATTGTCATGCTGGGTGGCACCAATCTACACATCAGTGCCAGGTCACAGGTCTGGCTTAAATACACAGTTTTCAAGGCGAACAGTTTAACGGTGAGTCAACTATCATGTAAAAGCATAACTCGAGGCCTTCTCCTACCTAGGAGTGAGAGAGAAACAACTGAGGGTAGGGAACTATCAGAGGGGAAAGCGCCAAGCCACTATGACTATATAGCACTTGGAAGGGGTCAGGGTAAGGATTTGGGATTGGTCGGGGGGAAGGAATGGTGCCCAACCACTTGTGGACGGTCGGGGATTGAACGCCGGCCTGCAAGATCACCTACCCTCCCCGGCGCTGTCTGACGTGATCTTGATTACCATTATTATTAAAAAAAAAACTTTATTAACCGACCTGATTGACAATTCTGCCTAATCAGACGTCAATAAGGAATTTCCAGAGAGATGATGATGATTGTGCTCATATTCACTATATTAGACGAGGGATCATACGTAAGACAGTAAGTCTTAACTGTAGATTCAAACACTTTAAAACAAATCAATAAGGTTACAATCGTAGCAACTATGTTAAGAGTAGTATAATTACTCCCCCAAGACAGTCCAGACTCTCCCAAGACAGTCCAGACTCTCCCAAGACAGTCCAGACTCTCCCAAGACAGTCCAGACTCTCCCAAGACAGTTCAGACTCTCCCAAGACAGTCCAGACTCTCCCAAGACAGTCCAGACTCTCCCAAGACAGTCCAGACTCTCCCAAGACAGTCCAGACTCTCCCAAGACAGTCCAGACTCTCCCAAGACAGTCCAGACTCTCCCAAGACAGTCCAGACTCTCCCAAGACAGTCCAGACTCTCCCAAGACAGTCCAGACTCTCCCAAGACAGTCCAGACTTACCCAAGATGACAAAAAACCCTCACCAACATCATGGGCCTATGGGTCGCCTGATTTTGAAATCAGAAAAATTAGAGAATTCCCCCAAATTTTTTTGGAAAAATCATAATTATATACTCTCTTTGATCTGGAACTTGAACGAAAAAATTCTGGATAAATAATTATAATTGCTTTGAAATTCAAAACCCTCTACGTCATCACATTAAATTTTAACCGAACTTTTAATTAATTTTTTTAAAGCATTGCTCGTACTGAGAACAGCGCCGCTCCACAACCAACTGATCCTCTTCAAAAGAAATAAATCCATTAAAAAAAAGTTTTAGGGGGAACAAACCGGCTTTTGGTGAGAAAATATCGGTCAGCTTGACGGCTGAGTGGACAGCGCGCGGGATTCGTAGTCATGAGGTTCCGGGTTTAATCCCCGGCGGAGACGGAAAGAAATGGGCAGAGTTTCCATCACCCTGATGGACTGTTCACCTAGCAGTAAATAGGTACCTGGGAGTTAGACAGCTGCT